AAACAAAAAGAGGTAAAAAAAAAAATACTTTCTAAAAACCAAGTTAATTTTTTTTTTTACTAAAAAATATTTTCATTGATAAAAACTTTTTGAAAAACAAACATAAGAAAGTTTAAAAAGTGTTATCCTGAAAACCACTTTCTAGAAAACAAATAGAGCTAAAAAAAAAAATACTTTCTAAAAACCAAGTTAATTTTTTTTTTTACTAAAAAATATTTTCTTTGATTAAAAGTATTTTTTGTTAATAAAAAAATATTTTTTATTAACCAATTTTTTTAATAATATCTAAATACTAAAAAATTTAAAAAATAATTTTTTTAAAAACAAACATGACTCCGATAAATAAGAACCGCCTGTGCTTCGTCATGTTCTCCAAATGAGCCATCAACCTCAGTGTTTCCAGGTTTACTGATTTTACTATTTTCTCCCGATGGTTCTGTGAACAACCCTTATGATGAAGTTGCAAGGCGAACAGCTGTGGATAGATAGCATTCTAGTTTTTAACTGGAATGTAGTTGCAATCTTGTAAATAATTTTTTTTAGTTTTCTTTTAAGATATAAAATGTTATATAATTTTAAAAGTTATATCATAATTTAAAATAAAATAAAAATAAAATAATTTTTTTAAGAAATAATAAGTGATAAGATCTCCCGTCATCTATATTAAGAATTTTTTAAATTAATATAAATATTCTAATCATTTATATAAATTTATATAAATTTTATAAATTTTAAAATTCATGGTTATATAAATTTTTAATGGTTTTAAAATATTTCAAACTTAATTTATAATTATTAAAAAATAAATTTATAATCAAACTAATTAAATTATGTATTATTTTTTATCAATATAGATGTTTGAATGAATTTATAATTATTTTAACTAATTACATGAATTTTAAATTAATAACTATATAAATTTTAATAACCTAAAAAATTATAAAATTTAAATTAATAATTTTTAAAAATCAAATCTTAAATCTAAATAAGGTACACACCCCGTCATTATTTTTTTTTTTATTTACATGGAGTGTCCAGGTCAGCTCACGCACACCACGATTAATCCCCACGGTCCACTAAACATCCTGCAAGTCTAATGAACAGGTAAGATATCGTAAAAATGACAGACATATATAGTAAGATTCGAACTCAAATATAAAAAAAAAGAACAAACTCCTTCTATCACTGCGCCAAAACTCTCCTACCACTGGGCCAAAACTCACTTGCTTTCGGATTATTCTCATTCTTGATTGTTCTCATTCTTTTCTTCTTTTGATTGTTCTCATTCTTGTAAAGCAATCGGATTATTATTATTATTATTTATTATTATTATTAGCCAATCCACGCAAAGATTTCTGTCCATTAAGAAAATATTTAGCAAACAATAAAGCAACGAACTGGAGAGATCAAACGGTTGAAATCATGCCGCGTGTACAAGAGTTCCAACTAATACCACGTGGCACCGACAATCCAAACGAAGGTGAACGGACTGTAGCTCAGAAACAGCAAAAGAATAAAAAATAATGGCTTCACATTTCCTCTATCAAATCGTCCACCGAAAACGAAAAAAATATTCCCAAATCGTAACCGAAATTATTACAATGGAATATTGATTTCAATGGAACCCCCAGATCAAAACGACGGCGACGGTTTCTTCTTCGACGCGCTCGATGACTTCCCCTTTCACGATTGCATAGTCACCGACCAATCAACTCTTTCCACCTCAACCTCCACTCTCTACGATCACTCACCGGATACTTCCTCTCCGGTCTCCGGTCTCCGGCACCGCTCTATATCTCTCGTTGGAATCAAAGACGCCCATGCAGATCCCTCTTTGATCGGTTCAGATGCCTTAGTAATTGACGACCCCGGAAAGAGGAGGAGAGAGAGCAGGCTTAAACTTTATCACGATTTGAAGGGAAATAAGAGGAATTTGGATGGCGCTGAGTCAACTCGGTCGATTTCCGATCGAGTTTGCGCTAGACGAGCTGACTCATCTGCGGTGGGAGGTGTTGGGGAGGAGGAGGAGAAGGAAGAATCGACGGTGACGAGGGCGAATGACGACCGAGTTGGTGACTCGGTAGACTCAGCGGGTGAACTCGACAAGTCACCTCGACGAGCTGAATCATCTGCGGTGGGAGGTGTCGGGGATGAGGAGAAGAAGGATGAATCGATGGTGACTACAGCGAATGACGACCGGGTTGCTGACTCGGCAGCCTCAGCGGGTGAACTCGATGAGTCAACAAATTTACTTATGTTCGTAGCTGGGTTGGTGATTAAGGCAGTTGGATTCCAATTAAATTTGTTAGTTTATTCTATCACATTTCCCTTGTGGATTTTGTATTGTTTTTATATGCTAGTTGTGGATCCATTTGGAGCTATAAGACGGGGTAGAGGATTTATTGTCCGGAAGTTGGTTTCTTTATGGAATTTGGTTGGTGGGTTTTTTGGTTCTTTTTTAGATGATTGGTTAAAGGAACATAAAACAATATGGAGCCTTTTGATGCAATTTGGGTGGGGCTTGTTTTGGTCATGCTATGTTTGTGTCATTTTGTGTGGATTATTGGTGTTCTCGGTTATGCTTAGTGGGTTTTTAATGAGATATTTGGTGGAGGAACCGATAAAAATAAGGCAGGATTTGAATTTTGACTATACGAAAGACAATCCAGTTGCATGTGTGCCCATACAGTCTTGTGGTGGTGTTGCTTCTTGTGAAGAGAATATTGGAGATATCAAGAGCTTAAATACTCGGGTTATACCGCCTAATCACAAGTTGCAAGTTTCTGTTTTGTTGACACTGCCAGAGTCAGAGTACAACAGAAATCTTGGGGTTTTTCAGGTACATTTTTTATTCATTGGGCAAGGAATTTGCAGTGTTTTGGTTGCTATGCTGTAGTTTATAGTTTGTTACTTGGTTTGTAGCCATTTTGTTTTGTGGAACTGAACTGCATCATAATGCTTTAAATTCTACGGGTTTTGTTTGAAATATGTTTTCGAACTGAGACTGCCATGTGAGAACTTGGGGGATAAAATTACCATCGGACTAGTAACCTCACATGTCAGGGAAGATTTGTTAGCTTTCTAGTTGTGAAATATTAATTTGACGAGGCAATGCTATGGTTTCTCCATTGCTGTGTCCTGTAATTCAGCATAAAATCGTACAAGTTCTTATATTGCGCCTGTTCAAATTTACTAGGACTAGACTGTTAAGGCATTTTGGTTGTCTCTTGCTAACATGAAAGCTCTTTTAAGAATATGTGAAAGTGAAGGTGGCAGCAACCTACCATCTATTTTGGCAGAGGAATTGGTGATATTTATCTGCATCCTTATCTTTAAGGAACCTTCTTCTTTTTTGGCATGACCTATAACAAGAAGAAGCTATCACAGTGGTATTTAATTAAGTGAAAACTTGTACAGAGTTGAACTTGTTCTGTTTATTTAAGGAAAGAAGAAATAAAACCTCCTTATACTTCAGATACTAATCATCAATGATTTTCTTTTAATCTTTCTGAAATGCTTGCCCTGACGTGCTTCATTTGTTCATTTGCAGATCCGTGCAGACTTCCTCTCTGCTGATGGGAAAACCCTTGCCAGCAAAAGCCATCCATGCATTTTAAAATTCAGAAGTGAGCCTATCCGTGTTTTATTGACTTTTTTAAAGGCTGCCCCTCTTGTTGCTGGCTACATATCTGAGTCCCAGACTTTGGCATTGAAGATAAAAGGTTTTACGGAACGTGACGTGCCTACTTCCTGCTTGAAGGTGATAATTGGACATAGAGCTGAATACAGACCTGGAGCTGGTATCCCTGAAATATATGATGCATCCATCGTACTTGAATCAGAACTTCCTCTTTTAAAAAGGATTATATGGTATTGGAAGAAAACCATATTCATATGGGCTGCCATGGTTTTATTTATGATGGAGTTGCCGATTGTTCTGTTATGTTGTAGGTCTGTTATTATTCCAAGAGCAATGCTGAGAGATGGTTCTGCTATCAACAATAGTACTCCAAACGACGTCCCTGCACAAAGTTGATACTTGATACCAAGTTCCGGTGCACTTGATCAAGACGATAAAAGAAAAGTTAACCTAACTGCAGTGTTAAAGTTGCTGTAACATTTCACATATAGTTAAGTATGCCATTTTAACATAGTTCTCCACCAATTCATTAATTTTTTTTTCTTTTATCATCAGTATAAATTCAATATCAATCAGTTGTAATTTGTGAATATTACATGGCAGGAAGACTTTTAAATATCACTGGCTGGGTGTTGCGTAATACAAAGCTAAATCAATAATGCTGTATAGCTATAACTTGAATGCAAAATTCAGTTGCATATAGATAATGCTATGTGAAAAGCTAAACAAAGGGAAGTGGCGCGAATTGTTGTATTTTGTTCCTAGAGCTTGGGAAATGCTTTCAAGAATGAAGCAAACAAGGACATGTTGAGACTTCCATATAATTTAATGCCCTTGGGACCCCATTTCTCGATTGTTTTTAGAATTCTACGTCATGCCACCCTGCAGAAAAAATAATTGACAGGCATTAATCGTGATGTGAAATTAAAGATTAGCTGGACATACTGAGTAAATGGCCTATATAGAGCAGTGTACGCAAAGAGATCATGCTGTTTCCTTGCCTGATTCTGGTCTGGACTAAATATGGGTTATGTTCTTAGAAACTACACTAGAAAGCATGCCATGCTGAATTTAGTGTTTTGAAAACCAAACCTTGTTTAAACAGGTTCCTTTAATAGAACTTTGAATGATTCATGATTGTCTCAGCACCAAGATTTGTAGCTATGCTATGTTCTTTTAAGTTTAGGGCACGCACCCAGAACTGATATCTAACTGATTTGTGAACTAAAAGCATCTTATATGTGCATTTCAGCCAAATTTTGTTATCCAGACAGCCTCTAGCAATTTCATTGCTTTGATCGATCACTAAATATCTTGACTCGGTTCAAGCTTCAACAAGCCTAAAGATGATATGACTGGGGAATGGAGAATCCTACAAACAGCCGAAGCTGCTTACATCATATCATTTGAAATCCATAACCCATTGATTCTATATTGGTAGTCTAAACTCCATGGAAATTCCTTCGGAAGATAACTAATACACGATCCAAGTGATACATGGATATGTTATTTTGCTTTTAAAGATGAAAAACTCATTACATCATACAAAAAATTAATGTGAAGTCTTATCCGCCCCGATTAAATCAACGTTAATTGAATCCCTATAAAAATACAAAAATGGCAACATTTTTCAGGCCTTAAATGTCATAATAGTATCCCAAATGCCTTTGATTTATTATTGTTTTTTTCAATAACAACAGAGAGACGAGTATTGTGTAGGAATGTTTTGATTGTCTGCGGTAGGCGGCCGCTCTCAAGATCTAATAATGAACAAGAGATGTCTTTGCATCCCAATTCTCCTCGAACAAGTTCCGTGCTATGACTAGCATACTAGTTTTAAAACTCACGGTATCTACGCTGCGGTGGATTCCAAGTGCTTTTTCTTAAAAAAATAAAATAAAATCATAGTGATATCATGAATGTGTTTTATTATATTATATTTTCTTAATTAAAAAAAATATGAATTCATGACTTATATTTAATAAAATAAATTTAAAAATAATTGAATTAATCAATTGTAAAATAGTTGTTAATGTTATTTATATGATGAATATATAAATGTTTAATATCCACTTTTCTTGAGTTCATGTGCTTTTATTTTTTTATTTTTTTTTATCTTAGAGGTTGTTATTCCAAATAAAAAACAAACAATTTTTAAAATATATCATACAAATACAATTTATTTATATCAAATGTAAAAAATACAAATTATAATGATCTATTTGAAATATTATAATACGAAATAAATAAAAAAATAAAAACTATTTAAAAAAATGAACAAATTTTTTTTTACAAAATATCAATTTAAATTAAAATAAAAAAATAATGTAAACTAAAAAATACATAAAAAAGAGGGAGTGTATTAATATTTTTTAAAATAAAAAAATGGAGAGAGAAACTAAGAGATATTGGGCAGGGGTGAGAAAAAAAAACCAAGAAAACCAGAAAAAAATAACAAAAAAAATTGAAAAAAAAATAAATTAACCAATTAAAAAATCACAAAAAAAATTTCAATTTAGTTCGATTTCAGTTTTTAAAGTTTGAAACTGATTGAACCGAACTTATTTAATTAGCCAATACTTAAATAGAATGTTTTCTAATTCTAAAGTAACATTTAGACATCAGCCACTCCTCTTCTTCTCCTTTTTTCTTTGCATATCTCTCTTTTTACTCTCTATTTGATTTTTCTCCCCTCCATTTACTTTTTGCTCTGCTATGGATTTGGTTTTTTCAAGTTTTTTTTGGATCTTAGTTTTCCTATTAAATTTATGGTTGACTCTAATAATTTGCCAAACAGTGCCTTATTGTACTTTCACTTATTTATTTTTAAAAATAGAAGAGAAACTCCTTCTTTTGTTGATTACTAATTAAGACCAGTGATCTATTTGTTTCTTATTCAAATTTCAGCATTTAAAATGATAAGTGATGCAACAATAAGGTTTTTAGGAAAGACAAAATAATATTTTGGGAGCTGGGATATTATTTTTTTAAAAGTCATATCAGACCTAGCTAGTATTGGTAAAGGATCATTAGGTTTGAACCAGTTTAGAAGAGAAAAAATCAAACCGAACCAAACCAAACCAAACTAAAATTAATCAGTTTGAACTGTTTTAGGTTTGGTTCGATTCAAAAAATTAAAAGAAAAATTCAGTTTGATTGTTTACTTTAATTAAAAACTGGACAGAACTAGAAATACTCAACCCTAATATTAGGTGTGGCTGGTTAGGTTTGCGCATGATGAGCTTTTATATATATATATTACATTAAGAAATCCATCTTTTTTTTTAAATATATATATTGCATTAAGAAATCCATCTTTTTTTTTAAATAAAAAAATTAATGTGGATGATTCATCATCTATCATCCCAATTTCTAAACAATTGGGGGTGACTAGAAAATCAGTTAATATATTTTTGGATTTAAAATTCTATTTGTTAATTTATTTTGACATAAAACACCAAGAAACACCATAAAAACCTAAAAAAACCAATCTTTTAACTTAGAATATCTATAAATTGATCTAAAAATACAAAATTAAATTAATTTTTTTCTCAAGCTTGATCTATGTTTTCAATGAAGATGAAGGCAAAAAAAGAACTACCATCAAATTTTTTTTATTGAATGGAATCTTTGATATCAATATTGATTATTTTGATTGTTAAAATCATAATAATCCTCAATTTTTTTCTATTATTTTTTATTGAGTTTCTCTTTTTTATTTTAAATTGAGGGACTGAAAAATAAAAAAAAAACTTTGAGATTAAAATAAAAATTATCAAGAATTTGGAATTAACATTGCTTTCTTCTTCATGTTTTATATGTTAGTCCTTTATATTTGATTTGATATATTTATTATAATTTCAAATCTAATTTTATTTAATTTGACTATAAAAAAATCCAATTAAAAAAAAAATTCTTCACTATAAGAAAGCCCATTTCTTTTATTATATTACATAATATAATATGACATGCCCCCATGAAACTTTTTTTCCTTGCAAAGAGTGGCAAAATTTATGCGAACCATCTAAAAGTGGAAAAGAATCATCTGTTTCTGATAACAAGAGCTATTAAGTCTACCAATCATGAATCTTCTTCTCTCTCAAATGGAATGCCATTGTTTTTATCCATTTGTGTGTGTGTGTGTGTGTGTGTGTGTGTGTGTGTGTGTGTGTGTGTGTGTGTGTGTGTGTGTGTGTGTGTGTGTGTGTGTGTGTGTGTGTGTGTGTGTGTGTGTGTGTGTGTGTGTGTGTGTGTGTGTGTGTGTGTGTGTGTGTGTGTGTGTGTGTGTGTGTGTGTGTGTGTGTGTGTGTGTGTGTGTGTGTGTGTGTGTGTGTGTGTGTGTGT